AATAAATTCCATGATGACATTGTCCTAATGAATCGTTTATCACAGTTATGCAACTGAGTAAACAAATCAGTTTATGTGTATAAAATATTTTCTATTAGTTGTTGGATTTTATTCTCTCTTAAAGAGAGGAGATAAGATTAAACTAAGTTATCCAAATTTATTTATTTATTTGAACACACAAACATTGATACAAAGGGGCACCGAATACATATGAGCCAATCAAGTCACTTGATTTGTGTGTGTGTTGTGATACTGCTCGGGTGCCCAAATAGAAACAAGTGGTTTTCTAAGGGGGCCACACCCTGAGCCTTCAAATTAAAGATATCATCCACAAGGCGGTGGAACAACACCAGTAGATGCACGCTCATGGTAGCCGGTAACCAACAATTGGTTCGTACATCATTTGTTCCTTCAGGCCTATGTGCACCATTGGTTTGGAATGTGGGTTTTCCAACCCGCCTAGGTGGACTCACCGTGTCTATCAACCATTGGTTATAGCATCGAAAATTCCTGTAAATTTCATAAACAACACTCGTGATGCGAGAAGGCAGTGAGTAGGAATTCCCTGAAAGTTGTTGTATACACGTGGCCATGTGAGAGCATTTGGAGAGGGAAAACTGACTCTCTCCATCCTCGGTCGTACCAGGGTATTTGGTGGCAAGTTATCCTAAACTATGAAGATTCTTGATTATGGATATGACTGTGTTAAGCACTTAGAAATCATTCAAACAATTACTATGTTATTTTATTGAATACAGACTATCATTTGAATTAGTTGCAATTTGCTCTCGTTTATCATTTGTGTAAAACAAAGTGTAAGTACATTAGAATATTTCTCAATGTTAAATAAAAATGACTAAGTTTATGACAAGATTACAGTTTCAACGGTATTTTTTAGCTTAGTTTTTGACTGAAAACTAGGATAAATATTGAACGGTTTTTCTGTACTAGTATAAGACTACTTACTAGTAGTAGACTTAGGTTTCGTGCTGTTTGACAAGATGTAACTTCAGTCCCAAGAGACTACCAATTCTTCCCAGTGAATTCAATCACGTGTCACTCAGTTTCACAATGAGATTCGGTACTATTGAAAAATCAGGAATGCGAGTAATGTTTTGTAAGACAGTTGATTGATAACTGAGTGGTGACCAATGTCATGGATATCAAGTCCTTCTTATTTATTTAAACACATGAACATTTGTACAAGGAGGCACCAAATGGATATGCGCCACATAAATCATTCAATTTGTGTGAGGGCTGTGATACTGCCCGAGTGCCCAAACCGAAACAGGTGGTTTTCTTAGGGGATCACATCCCGAGCCTTTGACCCTAAGGTCTGACCCACAAGGCAGTGGAGCATCTTGAGGAGATGCAGTCCCATAGTAGCCGGTGACCAACGATTGGTTCATACGCCATTTGTTTTATTAGGATACTGGAGCCCATGTGCACCATTGGTTTGGAATCCGGTTAAAGCGCCGGATATTCGCTTTTCGTCCTTTCATTTTCGTAAACAACACCTCCGCCACGAGAAGGTAGTGAGTAGGACTTCCGTGGTAGAGGCTGTATACGCGTGGCCGTGTGAGAGCATACCAGGCCATACCAGGGCATCTGGGGGCCTTCTTAGTGCTGATTGAGCACTGTGGATCAATTGGAATAATGTTAATCTTAGTCTATCGTCTACCATCTCTATGACTATATTTCAATCTATGCTTCTAATACATAATGAATATTAGAATGAACGACTGTTAACGATAATTGCTTGATCAACCTAATGGAGAACTGATCAAAAACAATAGTTTACTCTAATACTCGTTCATGAATATTGTATAGGAATTTGTGGATAGTGGTGTATAATGGACTAATATTGACAAAAATGTAAACCTCAAAATCTCCCTAGAAGTAAATCTTCTGTTGAAATGAGAATATGTAGCGGTTCACGCTAGGTTTCCAAGTACGTTGTGTGCTCAGGGAGTACATGAGGAAATCTAGAAAAGTAAAATACACTAAGAAACTGTTAACCAATATCAAAGTCAGATACTTCAATATAAATCTCAAAACAATTCTACTGTATTGAGCTTTATTTCTAATCTTTAATAAAGTCATATTATATTGAACAAGTTTTTGATTTTATGTTTACACTAATATGGTACTCGACTATGATGTCAAATCTTGTTTCAACTTGTAAATTGTTTATGAATGAGCAATAGGAAGATTAATTAACCATGAAAAAAAAATGTTTTAAAACATTCCTTCCTTTTTAGTTAAAATACGAAACAAATGTAGAAAATACATAGAATTCTTTTCATGAACTATATGAATACATGTATTGACTTGATGAGAGAAATGTAAGCTTTGATATTGATAATTATCTTATACAAATATCTGTAATGATTGTAATGATTGAAACTATGAATAGATTGATGTTAGGCTACTACTGAAAACCTGGAAATATTGGATGATTGTTTCGTCCTGATTCGGGACTCCTCAGTAGTACGCATGCATTATTTTGACCCATAGACTATGATTATACGATTCACAGTCATTGATTTATGCTCGGTCTATTCATTACAGTCTTCCATATTCACAGACACTTTGGGTTAAATGTTGTACAAATGGTGTTTTCTATTTTATGGTACGATGTGGTTTGCTTGGTTTGAAATACATGATTCATATTGCAGAGACTGAAATTTGTGTTCTGGACACAAACAGGCAGCGCTAGTCTGGAAGAAACACCGATAAAGACTCTAGACTGTTCGTACTTGTTTTGCGCGTTATTGGTCCGGTCGATAAATCACAGTTCTCTAGTTGGCGGTATCGTTACGTTATCCACTAACAGGGCACTCAGGCCACAAGTTATAACATGTGAGTGTATGATTTTCATTAAGGATTTCATTTCAAGCACTAACTTTCACTTTGAGATAATAAGGAAGATTTACAGCTCAGGTGGAGTTTTGATCGTGAGACTTTGATCATCATTAGTATAAACTTTCATACTATATGATTCTTCATCATACAAGTAGTGATGCTCTATGGTAAACTATTCACAGAACGCATACATAAATACATATATGGACCACAATGTAATTCTGGTTTAAGTTCAATATTTGTCATCAATCAATTAAATTTACATTAGGAACAGAATTGAGTTTGGAATTCTACTTCCTTGATGTTTCAATCTATTAAAATACAACTTGATATATTCAATATACTAAATTATCATAGATGAGATCCATTAAATATAAAGAGTAACTTGATTCAATATTTATCATCAAATTATAGACATATATACTCTGAATATATAAGAGATGAGAAACAATCGTTCAATTCATTCATGTTTTCAATGTTGATCTAACTTAGAATAATTCATGAATTCAACTATTAAAATTATTACAATCTCCACAAATCCCTCATTCTAAGAATGAGATTATTAAATTCGCTTGGTATTGTTTTACCTGAATCTTTCCATTGATGTTTAGGATTGCAATTGATCAGTGTTTGATTGTCATATGTGCATACTATGTGTATTGCCTCGACATAACCTTAATTCACAGGCATTATATGCAAAGATAGATAATGGCTAGCAGTATAATCCAGGACACGCATTTCGTCCTATTTCGGACTCATCAGATGGATGTACCTGCATCTCAGAGTTAATGTTCCCACTGGGGCTCAATCTTTATACCATTCATTTTAAAATATAATATCATTAGTATAGAAACACAAATTCCTGATGTATTTCAATGAATAGAATACATCATGGGTCACCATTAAAATTTCTATTGATTACATCCAAACAGATAACAATATCCAGTCAACAATATCTTATATAATATTAGATATAGATGGAGTGTGGGGGGGGGGTAAATATAAAAATATTATCATCATTATCGTTATACAGTTTTATCAAATAATAATAGGATGATAACTAGCAAGAAAGATAAGCAAACTGATTAGAACTAGAATAGAAACAAATGATTATACAACCATGTTTAAGTTTCTTATAGAATACAATAAATAGTTTCTATCAATTCTATAACGATTAGTATATTTATCAGGTTTTATATATCAACTTGAAAACTGTTATTATTATTATTAATAATAATAATATTACTGTTGTCCCCTCACCCTTCCGGTTAATGAAATAATATTACATTTTCTCCCTTCCTTTATATTTTCACTCTTTGTATATCCGTCTTTAGTTTTCTCCTATCTATTAACTCATAATTTCAAAATTGTCTAGTAAGAATATGTGTATATAAATGTTTCCCCGGTTGCCATGGTAACCAGGGGAGAAAACTAACCTAGAAGAGAGAAAAATCACGAATGGAATAATCATAACAATAACAATAATAATAAACACCGTATTACCATCAGTATTATTATTATTATTATTATTGTCTTGAATATTTTGAGGCGCATATTCCCTCTTTCTGACTGTCGTAGACACACACACACATACATATACGCATAAACGTATAGAGTTTTCCTCTCTAACTCCTCTATCTATTTTGACTGTGTTTTTTTTATATTAAAGTAAAACTAGATCAACTGTAATAATGTACCTTTTTTTGTTAGAATATTCTGTCGTAAGACATAGTTCTATTTAACTCTATTTCATACATCTATATATCTATATTATCACGTGAAAGATTACTTATTCTTAGTGTCTATTTAATGAACGGATGTATCCGTCTAATTGTCTCATAAGTAATAATTATTCTATAAAGAAAAGAAAAAATAATAATAATAATAAATTGAATATACATATCTATATGTATATCTATCTGTATACCTCCTAAGTTTTATATACATTAACGGGTTTCTTTTTCATTAAGATAGAATAAGATATCTATGTATATAGGATTGGGTATAAGTAGGTACTCATATCATGACAATGGTGAATGGTGAAAATACGAAAGAAAAGAAATTAAAGATTAATAGTATATGAAAGTACAAATCATGTTTTTGAAGTTCATATTAACATGATTAAAATAAAACAGGAAAATAAATGAAATATCATCATCATCATCAGCATCATCATCATCATCATCATCATCATCATCATCATCATCATCATCATCATCATCATCATCATCATCATCATCATCATCATCATCATCATCATCATCATCATCATCATCATCATCATCATCATCATCATCATCATCATCATCATCATCATCATCATCATCATCATCATCATCATCATCATCATCATCATCATCATCATCATCATCATCATCATCATCATCATCATCATCATCATCATCATCATCATCATCATCATCATCATCATCATCATCATCATCATCATCATCATCATCATCATCATCATCATCATCATCATCATCATCATCATCATCATCATCATCATCATCATCATCATCATCATCATCATCATCATCATCATCATCGTCATCAATGCAATATAGAATGTAACACTTTTATCATGTATATTACTTTGATCGTTTTATCGGATATAGTTGAAACTCAAAATGGTGGTTTAACATAGACTGGTTTTAAATTTCAATGTAATCCATTAACTTCTACAACCCCAAGCTGTAAATTATCACGTGCTAACTAGGGATTAGATTCGAGAGGCAGTTCTCGAACTTCTAGTGCGACACCATGATCAGTGGAGTTCAGCCGTGTAGAATGTGAGGCAGCTACGCGTCTAAAGCAATGGAAGATGGTCGAGCAGCGTTGTGGGTTTGTTGAAGTTAGACATCAAAACCTCTGGCCTAGAGGCTAAGCGTTCGCGCAAGACTTAAGATCCTGGGATCGTGAACCACATGTGGGGTTGGGGATTCGGACTTCTGTGAGGTTTCACACTAGGACGAAAAGGCCGTCCAGTGCTTCCTTCACAACCTCAACTTAAAAAACAACATTTTAGAAGCTTCTGATATCATTGGATTCTCATGGCCCGAACCACTGATATATCTTAGTTAGACCACCAGTGGAAACTCGGGTCTTTTTGGTCAGCCATTTCGTCCTGCTATAAGGCTCGCCAGGAGTGTGCATCAGTGATGCCGCGTCTAGAAACCAAACGCAAGACGTTTGATCTCGTACGCTTATAAAGTAATCCAGTGAGGAACTAGGGCTGTGTACTATACTACTGACCCAGCTAATTCCAACGAAACTACATGAAGAAGCATAGGCCTCCAACTAGGAAAATCCAATCACTTATATCTTGGGTTTCCATTTTTATTTCTCGCCGAGTGCTGTTTAACCTTTAAAAGTTTACCTCTGGTTCTTTGCGCCGTGTATTCCTTTATATGTCTCTTTTCCTTTGGACTAGTTAGGGTCCGCTGTATGTCTTATCCACCTCCTGTGTATTTCCCTAATTTCCCCGTCAGATGTAAGCTGGTTTGTTCTTTACCACAGTACGTTGTTGCTAATGGACATTGAGTATATTGAACAGACAACTGTTTATAAATACTTGTACCGTTTTGATGATAGTTGTAGTAGTTCTACAAGTTTCAGTGCCGTATGACAGAACTGCCTGGATGTAGATATTGAAGATTCTGACTTTGATGTTGAATGACAATTGTTTTGAGTTCCATACGTCATTCGATTGTAGGAGTGCTACTTGTGCTTTATCGATCAGTTCCTTCACATTTGCATCAGACCCTCCTTTGTTATCAATGATGCTGACCGGATACGGGAAAGTTTTCACCACCAATAGAGCGTCTATATCGAGTGTGATTTGTGTGAGGCGATCTGTGTTGTATTTCACGATCTTGCTCCTCACCAGTGAATGGTGAGGAATACTATTGCAGAGTTCGCTGTTGCATTGTATGTCTTCACATGCATTTGTTTCTGTGTATGGATTAGTAGTGATAGATGATGGGAGTTGTCCAATTATATCCAAAGTATGTATTGTATTCCATGCCTCTTCTGAGGTGTTGAAATCTTCATGATCTAGTCAACAATCAGAAGAAAGAGGGTAGGAGATACTCTTGTCTGATATCGGTTTTCACTTGCAATGCATCTGTCAGCTGGTATTCAGGCTCGACTTTCCGGTCCAATCCCTCGTAAGAGTTCCGTATGACGGAGGTGGTTTCCTCTGATATACCAGAATGTAGAAGAAGCTTCCATAAGATTCTCTTATCCCGACTGTCAAATGCTTCCTCACAGTCAAGAAAATCGAAGTAACGAGTTCGATTCAAATGAGTGTTCAAAAATGATCACGTTTAGAATGGTTATTTAATTAAGATCGGTCCCTTATTTTTATGAAACTCTTTGTACTTTCATCATTGTCAGTGGTTTTATTCAATATCATAAATTTAGTACAACATGGAATTCTCAGCACATATGCATAATAGATATCAATGGATATCAATTTTGTCTTGGTATGAGATCTCTCAACAGTGTGAACCCACGATCATAGCAGAGCTTGAACACATGACATTCAGTTCTCTGAGATAATGTTTAAACTTCAGACCATCTAGTATCCAACAGTCTATATTTTTAACTTGATAAAACTTACGATATCCCACAATCATCTCTCCAGATTTCCAGTGAGATTTCATTAGTGGAGATCAAACATATAGGCAGCTATGAGGTAGCTACTCACTAGTGACGCACAATATCGCCAGTCCTAATTCAAGACGAAATAGCTGTCCAGTAATTCCTTGTCCAACCCATTCCGGCCAGTTAACTAAAGTTAACTAAAAGATTTCACCCAATATAAAGTATCATGCTTGCAATGGCGAAGCACTGATGCCATTACTTGATTAGAAGGATTCAATCAGTACTAAGCGCCATTATTACCCAGTAGTCAGTTAGTGTGATCGTCATTCATACTAGGAGGCGGATTCTTATACGATTCGAACCCCGCTAGTGACATATTTCCCCTTAATACATCACTGATCAGTAAAAACTAATACAAAGTCTAAATCAAACAGAATTTCCTACCAATTACTTCAAATCACCTAAAATGAATTATTCACACTCCTTTTTCCGGATTGATTAGCATCATCAAATGTATCAATTCAACAGGGAATCTAGTTCTTTGTTTAAACAAATTTGTTATTCTTTCATTATATATATATCTTATTGAATACCCTTCAGTTTATCACATTCTTTTTGGATAGATTTTAACTTCCTTCTTTACTCCATTCTCTAATCTACAATACACACTCCATTACACTTACAAATTTTAGTTAATCATTGTATAGGTATGATTCATTTTACAAATGACTTGAAGTAAATAATCATAAACAAGACACGAGGACTCCTTTGTCAAACATTTTCAATTTAGAAATATGACACATAGTGAGATAGAGAGATAGAGATAAAGAGAGGAATACTAAAAATCTGATCGACAATTCCATTCTTATATTATGAGATTTTTGAGGTCAAAGAGGCAAAGAACACAAACGATTGAATGAACGAATGAATGTACAAAATGAAAATGTACAATAATGACATATAGAGAAAGGTTAACTTTACTGATATATAGAGAAGTATATCAAGTGTTGTGTTCGTTTGTTTGTTTGCTTCGTTCATATTTCTGTATATCTATGTGTGTGACGTAGGTAAATATGTATTATTAACCATACAACTTAATCATCAGCCCAATGATCTGATTCAACCATGTTTCACTCACACTCTCTCTTTCTCTTTATTCTCTGACCTATATGAAGCTTGTACTTGAATGATGATTGGTTTATTGATGCTTTGTTTAAAAATTTCAATGCCTTGTTATCATGTGAATTGTTCAAGTTGTGAATATGAATACATCAAAACGATACAACAAAAACGATTAAAAACGTAGTAAGTAGTATGGGTTGGTTAAACGAAACTATCGTAGTAGTAGTAGTAGTAGTAGTAGTAGTAGTAGTAGTAGTAGTAGTAGTAGTAGTAGTAGTAGTAGTAGTAGTAGTAGTAGTAGTAGTAGTAGTAGTAGTAGTAGTAGTAGTAGTAGTAGTAGTAGTAGTAGTAGTAGTAGTAGTAGTAGTAGTAGTAGTAGTAGTAGTAGTAGTAGTAGTAGTAGTAGTAGTAGTAGTAGTAGTAGTAGTAGTAGTAGTAGTAGTAGTAGTAGTAGTAGTAGTAGTAGTAGTAGTAGTAGTAGTAGTAGTAGTAGTAGTAGTAGTAGTAGTAGTAGTAGTAGTAGTAGTAGTAGTAGTAGTAGTAGTAGTAGTAGTAGTAGTAGTAGTAGTAGTAGTAGTAGTAGTAGTAGTAGTAGTAGTAGTAGTAGTAGTAGTAGTAGTAGTAGTAGTAGTAGTAGTAGTAGTAGTAGTAGTAGTAGTAGTAGTAGTAGTAGTAGTAGTAGTAGTAGTAGTAGTAGTAGTAGTAGTAGTAGTAGTAGTAGTAGTAGTAGTAGTAGTAGTAGTAGTAGTAGTAGTAGTAGTAGTAGTAGTAGTAGTAGTAGTAGTAGTAGTAGTAGTAGTAGTAGTAGTAGTAGTAGTAGTAGTAGTAGTAGTAGTAGTAGTAGTAGTAGTAGTAGTAGTAGTAGTAGTAGTAGTAGTAGTAGTAGTAGTAGTAGTAGTAGTAGTAGTAGTAGTAGTAGTAGTAGTAGTAGTAGTAGTAGTAGTAGTAGTAGTAGTAGTAGTAGTAGTAGTAGTAGTAGTAGTAGTAGTAGTAGTAGTAGTAGTAGTAGTAGTAGTAGTAGTAGTAGTAGTAGTAGTAGTAGTAGTAGTAGTAGTAGTAGTAGTAGTAGTAGTAGTAGTAGTAGTAGTAGTAGTAGTAGTAGTAGTAGTAGTAGTAGTAGTAGTAGTAGTAGTAGTAGTAGTAGTAGTAGTAGTAGTAGTAGTAGTAGTAGTAGTAGTAGTAGTAGTAGTAGTAGTAGTAGTAGTAGTAGTAGTAGTAGTAGTAGTAGTAGTAGTAGTAGTAGTAGTAGTAGTAGTAGTAGTAGTAGTAGTAGTAGTAGTAGTAGTAGTAGTAGTAGTAGTAGTAGTAGTAGTAGTAGTAGTAGTAGTAGTAGTAGTAGTAGTAGTAGTAGTAGTAGTAGTAGTAGTAGTAGTAGTAGTAGTAGTAGTAGTAGTAGTAGTAGTAGTAGTAGTAGTAGTAGTAGTAGTAGTAGTAGTAGTAGTAGTAGTAGTAGTAGTAGTAGTAGTAGTAGTAGTAGTAGTAGTAGTAGTAGTAGTAGTAGTAGTAGTAGTAGTAGTAGTAGTAGTAGTAGTAGTAGTAGTAGTAGTAGTAGTAGTAGTAGTAGTAGTAGTAGTAGTAGTAGTAGTAGTAGTAGTAGTAGTAGTAGTAGTAGTAGTAGTAGTAGTAGTAGTAGTAGTAGTAGTAGTAGTAGTAGTAGTAGTAGTAGTAGTAGTAGTAGTAGTAGTAGTAGTAGTAGTAGTAGTAGTAGTAGTAGTAGTAGTAGTAGTAGTAGTAGTAGTAGTAGTAGTAGTAGTAGTAGTAGTAGTAGTAGTAGTAGTAGTAGTAGTAGTAGTAGTAGTAGTAGTAGTAGTAGTAGTAGTAGTAGTAGTAGTAGTAGTAGTAGT